GAGCTGAGATCGCACCACTGTACTCCAGCCTGGACGACAAAGTGAGACACTGTCTCAAAAAAACAAACAAACAAAAGATCGTCATTGTGCAAACATCATATAAACCCAGATAGCACAGCCTACCCCACACTTAGGCTAGATGGTATAGCCTATTGCTCCCAGGCCACAAACTTCCAAGTTACTGTACTCAACACTGTAGGTGACTGACTGTAACATGATGGTAAGTATCTGTGTATCTAAACATAGAAAGGGTACCATAAAAACAGTGTTATAATCTTATGGGACTACTGCTGTACACGTGGTCTGCAGCTGACTGATGAACTTTGCCATGTGACGCATGACTGTATTTGGATTTGAGAAAATCAATAAATACGCAATCTCCTGGCAAAGATGATGATGTTCCAAATAAGCAAATGTTATTTGTTTGCTTGGAAAAAGGCCTTCATAACAAGATTAATGTACGTATTCTGATTGTCTTTATGTTTTAACATATAACTATGTAAGAAACTGTTAACTTGACAAATAATCTTTCCTCTTTTCCATGCATAACAAAAAGGAAGAACAAAATGAACAAAGGTTTCATTTGGAGAAGTAATAAACTAAATATTTCAAACAAGCATAAAATATTCAGCATGCATTAAGGGCCAAAGACTTCAACAAGGCAAAAGGATTTCATGAACACACCCTACCACTATCTTTTCTAAGTGTGTTTACATTTTATCTTACAATCTTCTAAGGAAGTTTGTCAGCAAAAAATCCCAAAGCACAGACCCAAGTACCTTAGAATTAGGAAGTTTACAGTCACACCATCGTCCATCTACCATATGTCGCTGTGACATTACTTTCACCTGTGTTTCATATTCCGTAAAACGAACAAAGCCAAACCCCTTTGAATGACCAGTCTTAAGATCTTTCTTGACCTAGAAAGGATGATTTAAGTTTACTCTAACAGTACACATACACACTCCACGCCCAAATCATAGTTCCTTAAAAAACAATTTGAATGGTTTTAACTGGATGCAGTTGTTTAAAACTTAAACCAAGTTAGTCTTCAGAGTAAAAACAAGGAGGTTAATATTGAATCCATACCGTGTAAACAATAGAGCAAAACTCACTTATACAACAGAAATGTTTTTGAGTTCTTAAAAAAAAGAGAGATGGGGCCAGGCGTGGTGGCTCACACCTGTATTCCCAGCGCTTTGGGAGGCTGAGGAGGGTGGATAACTTGAGCACAGGAGTTAAAGTCCAGCCTGGGCAACACAGTGAAACCCTATCTCTACAAAAAATACAAAAATTAGCCAGGTACAGTGGCATGCATCTGTAGTCCCAGCTACTTGGCAGGCTGAAGCACAAGAATAGCCTGAATCCAGGAGGCAGAGGTTGCAGCAAGCCTAAACTGCACCACTGCACTCTAGAGCCTGGCTGACAGAGCCAGACCCTGTCTCCAAAAAGAAAAAAAGAGAAACTGAGTCTGGATTATGTTGGCTAAGGTGGTCTTGAACTCCTGGCCTCAAGCAATCCTCCCACCTCAGCCTACCAAAATGCTGGGATTACAGGCATGAGCCACCACAACAGGATTTTAACAGAATGTCTTAGAACGAATTCAAAGATAAAAAGCTATTATCACCTAATTCCCTTAAGCCTTCATGCAACAGCAGGATTTTACAATATTGAAGGCAATAATATAGAGTACAAGATATGTGTGTAAATATAACAAATATTGGAAGTATCATCTGTGTAACAGGAAGTACAGTGCCATTAAAATAACAAGAATATGGCCGGGCACGGTGGCTCACACCTGTAATCCCAGCACTGGGAGGCCAAGACAGGTGGATCACCTGAGGTCAGGAGTTCAAGAACAGCCTGGCCAACTGGTGAAACCCTGTCTCTACTAAAAAATACAAAATTAGCCAGGTGTGATGATGTGCGCCTGTAATCCCAGATACAGGAGGCTAAGACAGGAGAAATCGCTTAAAGCCAGGAGGTGGAGGTTTGCAGTGAGCCAAGATAGTGCCACTGCACTCCAGCCTGGACAGCAAAGTGAGACTTGGTCTCCAAAAAAAAAAAAAAAGGTAACAAGAATGTGGCTAAGGCATCATGGCTCAGCACACTGGGGTTGAGGCGGGAGGACAGTTTGAGCCCAGGAGTTCAACACCAGAACACAGGCAACATAGTGAGACCCCATCTCTATGTATACCAATAAATAAATGCTAGATGCTCATTCACTGTAAAGAAAAACTGTTTGATGCAATCGAAGTTTACCTGCACCATAAGAACTTCTCCAAAGGTACTAAAATACTCTTTCAGGTCCTGTTCAGTTGTTTTCCATGGGAGACCCAACACTATTAAATCGGATGTTTTCTGGACTGCTCTTTTTACTTTCACTGCTGATGAAGCATCTGTCTCATCCATTTTTCTTTTGTTATCTAAATAAAATGAGCAGAAACCTTTTAGACTTAGCACTTCTTTAAAAACACTACCTCCTACATCCAGAAATGAGAAGCAAAAAGAAGACTCTAAGAAGAGTAAGACACTGAAAACTTGCAAGAAGTGATTTTTGCTCTAGAGGACAGAATAAAGGCTTAAGTTTAGTGTCTGAGGTGCTTTTCTGGTGCAAATTCAGTGATTTCCAATTTTGTTTTTTGTAGTACTTCCAGATTACAATCTCTCTCAAAAGGTTTATCAAAACAAAAATAATTCTACTTCACTTTGACTTTAAGTATCAGCAACTTGTATCTCCCGATGTAGATTTAACTTTTATCTTTCCTAAACATTCGACAATACACAGCTTTTGCAATAAAACGGAAAACCAGGCACAGTGGTGTATATGCCTGTAAGTTCCAACAACTCAGGAGGCTGAGGAAGGAAGTTCCAACAAACTCCTGCCTTAGAGTCCAGGAGTTTGAGGCTGCAGGGTGTCTATGAACAGCCACTACAATATGCCTAGGCAACAGAGCAAGAGCCCCCATCTCTAATTTCAAAAAAGAAAAAGAAACCAAAAGTTTGGCTTACTTAAAAAAACATAACCAGCTGGGCATGGTGGCTCACACCTGTAATCCCAGCACTTTGGGAGGCTGAGGCAGGTGGATCACAAGGTCAAGAGTTCAAGACCAGCCTGGCTAAGATAATGAAACTCCATCTATGCTAAAAACACACAAAAAAATTAGCCGGGCTCAGTGGCAGGCGCCTGTAATCCCAGTTACTTGGGAGGCTGAGGCAGGAGAATTGCCTGAACCCAAGAGGCAGAGGTTGCAGTGAGCCAAGATTGTGCCACTGCACTCCAGCCTGGGCGAGACTTTGTCTCAAAATAAAATAAAATAAATAAATAGATAAAAATACAAAAATTAGCCAGGCGTGGTGGCAGGCGCCTGTAATCCCAGCTACTCAGAAGGCTGAGGCAGAGAACTGCTTGAACCCCAGAGGTGGAGGTTGCAATGAGCCAAGATCGCGCCACTGCACTCCAGCCTGGGTGACAGAGCAAAACTCCATCTCAAAAAACAAACAACAAAAAAAAAAACTCCTACATAACCTTAACCTTAGGTTATTTAGAAGAGAAAGGGAGATAATTTTTTTTTTTTTTTGAGACGGATTCTCATTCTGTCACCCAGGCTGGAGTGCAGTGGTGTAATCTCCCCTCGCTGCAACCTCTGCCTCCTGGGTTCAAGTGATTAAGTGATTCTCCTGCCTCAGTCTCCTGAGTAGCTGGGATTACAGGTGTGAGCCACTGCGTCCGGCCTGGGGAGATAAATTAAATGACATTTTTTTTCTTTTTTGAGACGGTGTCTCGCTCTGCTGCCCAGGCTGGAGAGCAGTGGCACCATCTCAGCTTACTGCAACCTCCACCTCCTGGGTTCAAGCCATTCTCCTGCCTCAGCCTCCCCAGTAACTAAGACTACAGATGCAAACCACCGCGCCTGTCTAAGTTTTGTATTTTCAGTAGAGACGGGGTTTCACCACGTTGGCCAGGCTGGTCTTGAACTTCGGACCTCAGGTGATCTGCTCACCTCAGCCTCCCAAAGTGCTGGAATTACAGGTGTGAGCCACTGTACCCAGCCTGACATTTTAAATTTGGGTAACTATTAATCTATACCCAATGGCTGAAGAAACAGCATACTAAAAACCCCCAGTTTACATTATTAATTATTATTATTTCATTATATATTTTTTTGAGACAAAGTCTTGCTCTGTCACCCAGGCTGGAGTGCAGTGGCGCAATCTCAGCTCACTGTAATCTCTGCCTCCCAGGTTTAAGCGATTCTCCTGCCTCAGCCTCCAGAGTAGCTGGGACTACAAGGCGCCCACCACCACACCCAGCTAATTTTTGTTTTCATTTTTTTTCTTTTTGTTTTGAGACCGAGTTTCGCTCTTGTTGCTCAGGCTGGAGTGCAATGGCATAATCTATTCACTGCAACCTCCGCCTCCCGGTTCAAGCGATTCTTCTCCTGCCTCAGCCTCCAGAGTAGCTAGGATTACAGGCACCCACCACATCCAACTAATTTTTTGTTTTTAATAGAGATGGGGTTTCATCATGTTGGCCAGGCTGGTCTCAAACTCCTGACCTCAGGTGATCCACCCGCCTCGGCCTCCCAAGTGCTGGGATTACAAGCATGAGCCACCGTGCCTGGCCCTAAAGTTTTTCTACACATGTAAAAGAGTGTCTTGCATACTGACCAAATTTGATAAGACTTTGTTGCAATACCAAGTTATAATAAAAGGAACACACAGATCGACTATTAACAGTACACTACTTCAAAATGCGAAAATTAGCTATTTCTCATGATTCCTTTTCTTAGATTTAGAACATCAGTGATAAGAGGCAGCGAGAAGGATAAGACTAGAACCTCAAAATTGTAATTGGAACTACACTAATTCAAGATTTGGCTACTGCAACTGTTTGTTCATTTAAGGGAAGAAATGAAGTCACATGTGCCAAATGAATGATGTAAGACCAAAAGGACAATGATCAAATCCAAATACTCGAGCACTTCAGAAGAATCTATTTACAACACTGATAGAAGCGCAAAACATTATTAGTAATTCCTTAAATTTGGCATCAACTTGGTAAAGCTTATTCAGATATTTTTAAAATACATCGCTTTCTCTTTTAAAATGATCTATAATCCCCAGTTTCCATAAATTTAGACTCATGGTCTTCCAAACTTGTCTAATAGTGAAGTTCAAGGAAATACTGAAGTTACAGGAGACATTCTGCCAGGAAACAAGGCTAAGATCCATGGATGAGACACACACCCGACCACATTTCAGCATGATTACAAAACCAAATAGTAACAAACCTTTCGGATAGTTGACAACATACACCAGATTTCCCCAGCCAGCATCGGGGGCATGCAGAATTCCTTCTACCAGTCGGACACCTCTCATACATTGAGACACTGGATTCCTGTAGCGAAGCCCACACGCCCCTGGAAACTGGGCTGTGACCGTGGACAGCAGCACCGTCCCATCGTCTTCCGATGGTATTTCAATGGGCTCATCGTTCTCATCTTCGGTTACCCGAATATATTCAGACATCTTTTACTTTTCTTAAAAGGAAAAGAGATATGAATGAACAACATTCACGTCACAGTAACTGTTTCCTTATAACGATAATACCCAAACCATCTTAGTGTTCTGACTTCCAGAAAAATTCTTGTCTGGATTCGTACATGCATTGGTTATCTCTGAAAAATGACGAGGTGAAGGTAAGGGTAGTGATTTCCTGTCAAAATCTGATGCCTCGCCAGTTCATTCATTCAAAAAACTTTCCCTGAAGGCTTATAGATGCGTCAGGTACTGAAACTGAGTCCAACGTGGCTTTCTGGTTACAAGCTGGGGTATGCAAGGGAACAATAAACAGTAGCTATTTTATGACCATCGTGGAAGTCGTTAAGTAATCCTGAAAGTAAGGGAAGAGCCTAACTGGCTGAGGCATGGGCGTGATGGGTCCAAGTCGATCTTCCTAAGCAAGCGATCCATCAGCTGAACCTGAAGACTGAATATGGGCAGTGAATCAGGTGTAAAGAACAGGAGAAAAGTTCTTCTCTGTTCCTCATTTTGGAGCTTCCGGGAGCTCCATGAGCCCGAGCCGCAAGGCCCGCGGCGACAGGTCCTGGCGGAGCCGGCCGCCGCCTCCCAGAAGCCCGCGCGTGCCAGCCGAGGGAGGAGTTTCTCAGCGCGGCCCGGGGTGGGGCGCAGGAGCACCAGGCCCGAGCTGGCAGCGTCCCTCGGAGTACAAAGTACCGAAGGCTCCAGCACTGTCCGGGTCCGGGGCCAACCTCCACCTCAGCCTGCGCGGCACCACGGGCCCGGCTCCCCGTTTCTGCACCAGCGGCCTCCCTGTGCCCGGACCTGACGACGCTCCCACGCGAGCCCGCTCGGGCAGAACTAGGCCCGGTCTCACGACTCACATCCCGGGGCAGGGGCCGAAGCCGCTGCGTCCGCCTCGGGCCGCCCCAATGCGGGAGCCGAAGCACCTACGGCATCCTCAGTGAGAAGGCTCCGCGACTCACCCACTAGGCCGCTGCTGGGAAGCCCGACAGGGACACCGAGGCAGCGACGGTCCCAAGCGCAGCCCAGCGACCGCTTCGCTCCCACAAAATGGCGCTAGGGCCGCCTCCTTCCCCCCGCCCACCGGCGTCCTCTCCCACCGGTTGCCCGTCCAGAGGTGGAAGGCGCCGAGGTGAGCCACGATGACCCTCTCCCCAGGGACTCGGGCTGCCTCTTGGAAATTCGAGCCTGCAGAGAAGCTCTGAAAGCTAAAATAAAACCAAGACCTAGGCCTGAAAAGCTGAAGATTGCAAAAAGTGTGGCTGTATAGGCGCTGACCTCCCCCCATGTAACGCAGCAGATGGTTTCGGCCGACCAACCGCCGGCCCAGGTCTCGGTCGGAGCTCGCGCACTTTCAAAGAGCGCGAGAGTAGCGCAGAGTCTCGGCCAGCAAGAGCGGAGCGGGGCGGGGCGGGGCGTGGAGGGGGCGGGGCTCAGGATCCCGGGCCCAGTCCACTTGCGAGGCAGGGTAAAGCCTGGATCTGTTTTCTGAAAGGCGGACCTGTGCGTCCTCTCCTCCCTCCGCCAGCCCACCTCCAAACCTGGAAATAATAACTTTGTTCTAAATAATAGCAGTAATAGTGCTACTTTGTACCAGGTACTTTCTGAGTATTCGCATATTTAATAATAGCCCATACAGTTTGGTGTAGGAGGAACTATTGATACTCATTCTGCGGGTGAGGAAACTGAGGCACAGAGAGATCAAGTATCTTGCTTAAAGTCACGCAAGGATTAGCCGGGCGGTAGTGGCGCGCGCCTGTAATCCCAGCTACTCGGGAGGCTGAGGCAGGAGAATTGCTTGAACCCGGTAGGCGGAGGTAGCGGTGAGCCGAGTTCGTGACACTTCACTCCAGTCTGGGCGACAAGGTGAGACCCTGTCCTCCTCCCCCCGCCGAAAAAAAGTCACCCAAGGAATAAATGGTAGACCTGGAATTTGAATCTCGAGGCACAAAATGCTAACTAGTTCTGGCTCCAGCCCTCTAATAATAATAATAATA